GCCCCCACGGCTGAAAGGGCGAGCATGTTTGGTGGTATGCGGATTCGAACCCGCGACCCAAAGTATAAATATTCATTAATAAGTTTGGAGACAGCTTGAATGGGTAATTAAAGAAACTTTATTACAAGCAACAAATGCACAACGTTTCGACAAGGAATAGTTTTTGGGAGGATTCGTTATTCACAAAAGCAGCTACTATAACCCAATATAACTGAATTTTAATAACATTTTTCGGAAAAAAATTCACGTGTATCCATCATCCATACTTTTTTTGATCAACTATTTCCTCCCCAATTAAATGACTGAAACTAGTAGACACCTTCAACACTTGAGGTACCGAAAAATAAAAGTATGTACACTCTCTAACATACATATAAGTATATAATGCTCATAAACCATAATTTTCTCACAAGACACAACTTGTGCACTTCACAATGCTCGTACCAGTGATCGAAACGCTGTACCTTTTTTTTTTGTACAGAAGTTTATTTCACTGCACATAAAAAAACAATTGCAAATAATATAAGCATAAACAACATTAAGGCATGTTTTAATATTTTAGAACAGACCAGTTATGGTTGTACGCTTTGGAATGGACATTTGTTCATCCGGGGATTTGAATGAGAGGTGCTAAAACTTAAAGTAGAAGTTACGCCATATTGCAAGACAAAAGAAGTCGATTATATTGAAGCATCAAAGAAAGAAGATCAACAAATTGTATATAACTAAAGAAAATGTTTGTGGAATTTAAATTATTATTGAAAGTACTTTATAAATTATTTTGTTAAATAAGTTTGACTTCATAGTGTAACTGACCGTAAACTAGGCTTAACAGAACGTCACTTTTAGTTTACTCCGTTAGGCTTAGTTGGAGCCGTATTTTTCGTAATAATTGAATAAAAGTATAATAAGACTAATTAATATTAGTTGTAACATGTGGCTTGTTGAATACAGAAAACAATTTGCAGGGTGTAAGAAAGGTTAACTTTTCACTTATTTCATAGGATTAGAATGTCAAATTTGGAATCCATTAACGAATTTACCCCAGATTTGTTTTTTTTAGTTTTCCCATTCCCTTTAATTTTAAATTTAATATTTTACTTTCTTTAGCGAAAGGAAAAAAAAACAATAATAATGAAACTGTTTTTTCATGCACGTACTTTGTAACTGAAAGTGTCGGAAGTTTGATTGTGCATGAAAAAAAGTCGTTTTTATGTGTTTCTTTGAACCCTTTCCAACAATTCAATGTCTTTCCTAAGGTAAGGAGACCATGACGGAACACAATATTCCAAATGTGGCCTAACCAATGAAATTATAACCTTTTTAGACTTGTATTCAATATTTCTGTTGACACAACCTAAAATCCTATTTTCCCCACCACTAGCAACAGCACACTGCTTGGATGGCTTTAGAGACTGATCGAATATTACACCAAGATCCCTTTCTTTCATAACCCTATTAAGGTTATTCCCATCCAAATTATACTTATAATTCAGATTCACATGCATTATCTTGCATTTATTATAATTAAATC